AATCGCACACACGTCCGGATCTTCTTACCGCGACGGCTGCTATACTCCAACTGTAGTCGGCTGACTGGAGAACTGTTGATAACACGCTCTCGTAAGCTTGCTCGGAACTATCTTCGGCGATGGCCACGTTATAACTCGCCGACTGCTACAGTAGAACTCTCTGGTAGCCACAATAGAACTCGCTGGTAGCCACATTAGAACTCAACTCGTACCGGCACTGCAGCTCACTTATATAGTCGCAGGATTGCCTGTTACGTTCCACATTACAGTAGGAAGCAGTTCCGCGTCACCGCGTGATGTCACCGCGGAGGGGAGTGGCGGTGCGGGCTTCGTTACCGTGCGGAGGAGGGGGAGGGGAGCGCTGACTCACCCGCCGCGTCACTGCTGGTGTGTGTGGGGGGAGGGGGGCTTGGCGCAACATGTCACACTATATTGAACAAAAGGCAGGCTAGGGAATCCCCTTGTCGAACTCCATTTCTAGTTATTATAGGGCTGAACAACATATTCTGAATCTTAATTTGGCATTGGGCCTTTCTCATAGTGGCTCTGACTAAGGCGATTAACTTCCATGGAATGTGCATCTCTTCCATTGTCAGAAAAAGACTATCTCTATCTATGGAGTCATAGGCTGATCGGAAGTCAATGAAAAGATGATGTGTTTCAATTTGGGATTCATTACACTTTTCAAGGACATGGCGAATAGTGAAAATGTGATCGTTAGTTGATCTTCTCTGACAAAACCCACATTGGCAATACCCAATTATGCCTTCCACAAAGGGAGAGAGTCTGTTAAATAGAATGTTGGAAAATATTTTATGTGCTATGCACAACAGACTAATTCCTCTATAGTTAGAGCATATCATGACATCGCCTTTCTTATGGATAGGGCATACAGTACTTAGGTTCCATTCCTCTGGGATTATTTCAGTTATCCATATCTTACTTATTAGCTGATGTAAGTGCTTAGCATATTCCGGGCCTGCAAATTTCACTAATTCTGCCGTGACGAGATCCATTCCTAGAGCTTTATTATTTTTCAATTTTTTGATAGCTTGTTCTACTTCTTTTATGGTCGGCGCTGGCTCTTTAGCTTCAAAAAATCCTTGATTCCGGTCTATGGTCATACCTTCCGCTTGTTCGGGGGACATTACCATTTAATAATTTCTCAAAATATTGCGCCCATCTTTCCAATATTGCTTCATCGCTACTCAGTACCGTGCCTTCTTTATCGCTACACAAGGTTGTTCTGGGTTGCAAGTCCTTTCGACTCTAGTTTAGTTTTTGATAAAACGCTCTAATTCCTTTTGAACTTCTTAAATGCTCCAGTTCAATCAGTTCTTGTTTATCATATTCCCTTTCCTTCGTTTTATGCAATCTTTTTTCTATTCTTCTCGCTTCACGGTATTCTTCCACGGCCCCTCGAGTATGGTTCCTTTGCTGCATTCTCTTATATGCCTGTTATTTTTTATTTGTCACTTGCTCACACTCTCCATCAAACCAATTCTTATACTTTATCCTTTCCATTCTTCCTAAAACTGCAGCAGCAGCATTTATAATAACATCTTTGAGGCCCTCCAAGCTTCACTGACATCCTCACTATCAGAGAGACCTGCCAGGCATTCACTACTTAATCCAGTATATCTGGTTGCAACTCCCTGTTCCACCAATTTTCCACAATTCAATTTCTTAGCCTGGGATCCTTGTATCTTCCTTGCAGTAGATATTCGACTTCTGATCTTTGATATTATTAAGTAATGATCAGAGTCAATGTTGGCCCCCCTGTAGCTGCTGACATCCATCAAGTCTGAAAAATGTCCTACATTTATTAGGATGTGATCAATTTGGTTAAACACATTTCCGTCAGGGCATTTCCAGGTTCGTTTATGTATATCCTTGTGATTAAACACTGTACTACCTACTACCATGTTTCTTGAGGAAGCAACATTTATTAATCTCATCCCATTATCGTTTGACTTGTTACGTAGGCTATGTGTTCCAATAACCGAGCTATATACATCCTCACGCCCCACTTTAGCATTCATGTCTCCTATGATTATTTTACAATCCCTTTTTGAACATTCGCCATATATTTCATCCAATTCATCATAAAAGGAGTCTTTCTCCTCAACACTTTTATCTTCAGTTGGGGCATGCGCACAAATAAGGCTGTAGTTAAAATTTTCCCTTAATTCGTAGCCTCCATGTTCTGTGAGATTTTGCCTGGATATTTAAAATAAGATGCTTCCTTTTTTATTACCTTTTTGAACATTCGCAAACATGTGACTCTTCCAAACATGTGACTCTTCTTCTGACATCTATAGAGTACAGGTAACTACACTGCGATATATTCCACAGGCAACTCTTCTTGTGGGCCTACGTCGATATTAAAGAAAATGTTTTATAATATGTTGAGGACTATTCCTCATGTGATATGTAAATACTTACTTTCATTAACCATGTTTAAGTAA